GATTAAATAAAGTACGTTATGGATTGGTAGTAATGAACACTGACAAAGTGTTCATTAAAACAAACCCATAATTTAATGTATTTAATCGTTATCATGACGACAAAGTGTTTATTACTACCAATCTATAACGTACTTTATTTAATCGTTAACATAACAAGATATAACGTACTTTATTTAATCGTTAACATAACGTTAACATGACAACAAAGTGTTCATTACTACCAATCCAATAAAACAAAGTGTATTGTGGATAGGTGTAATCATGACCTACCTAGAGAGAACAGTCTCAAGGAACTGTAAAGTTATTTATACAGCAGCATTTGTTTATTTGAGTATTTGTCGGCTCCCGCTAGGGGGCGTGACGTCATAAACCGCAGCCAGCGCGAAGAAGTGACTTCCTGTCTCGGAAAGTTTGCTATTGGAAGTTTGGAATATGGGTACTGTATAAGAGTCTGAGTCATTTATAGAACATGTACAATTTCGTTGATCTTCAGATATATAAGCTAATTGATAATACGCCTACATTTCTCTGGAAGATACAAAGTGGGTTGTAGATGAATTACAACATTAACTGAACCTTTTTTACCTACATAAATCAGCGAAGGAAGGAAAGAGTGTCTGACTCGGTTTAAAGCACTATTTTCCTTTCTCAGCATAATTCTTCTAATAACACATCAGCCGAAACTTGTTTTAACTATTTAGGCTTAAAACAGATGGTGTGGGAGTTGTTTTAAGATATGCGAGAAACGGCCAACTGAAACTAAAAGAATCGTTTTGTTAATAAAAACAAAAAGGTGGTTAGGAAGAAAAACACAAAACTAAGCAAATGAACAGTATAAACTATGAAGAAGATGAAAGTAACCAATTAAAACAGTATAAATTATAAAGCAAATTAAAGTAACCAATCAAAAACAGTATAAACCATGAAACAAATTAAAGTAACCAATCAAAACTGTATAAATTATAAAGCAAATTAAAATAACCAATCAAAACAGTATAAATTATAAAGCAAATTAAAGTAACAAATCAAAAACAGTATAAACCATGAAACAAATTAAAGTAACCAATCAAAACTGTATAAATTATAAAGCAAATTAAAGTAATCAATCAAAAACAGTATAAACCATGAAACAAATTAAAGTAACCAATCAAACCTGTATAAATTATAAAGCAAATTAAAGTAACCAATCAAAGCAGTATAAACTATTAAGTAAATAAAAGTAACAAATCAAAACAGTATAAACTATGAAAAAAATTAAGTGACCAATTAAAACAGTATTATAAAACGAACAGTAAGGAAAACACATTTATAAATAAAATAATAAAAATTTTAAATACAACACTAATGCATTAGTTGCAACTTCTGATATATAAAATACTGATTGCCAGTTGTATGTCAGTATACTAATTGAAACAGTTTGAGTTGTAAGGACGTCTGTTGATCTTTTACAATCAGTGGATTTCTTAAACGGGGAGTTTAAGGTCTGTAGATACAATCATAGATGTTAACTGATGTTTTCTAACCTCTCTTTTCTTCATCTTACAGAACTACTGAGTGACAGGAGGTACCATTAACTTCTCATAGCCTTTAAATGGTGTTTAGTTTTGGTAATGTATGTCACAGAGTGGATGGTGTCTCCTCTTGGACCAAGCTTAGCCAATAGTTTTCTCATGTCACCATGACAACTGCCGGCCTGATTTCAGACCAGAGTTACATCGATGACACGTTCATACCGTTTCGCTCTGTTAGCCGTTTCCAACATTTTCAGCACCCAAAATTAACTTAACTTCTGGATATCTTATATACAAGTAATAATTTTTCTGCTTTAGTACAAGTAAACTTTCGCTACATTAACTGTGACAGTAATTCAGTGTTCTTTTCAAATGTAAATTTAATAATGTTCTACACATTGAGGATAAACTTTTAAAACAGAATGGTAACTTTCTAACTAAAGTCACAAACAAGTACCTCAACTAAAAATTATGGGTTCTCTCGTTATCTGTCTACCGTTCATGGCTTCTCTCGTTATCTGTCTACCGTTCATGGCTTCTCTCGTTATCTGTCTACCTTTCATGGGTTCTCTCGTTATCTGTCTACCGTTCATGGCTTCTCTCGTTATCTGTCTACCTTTCATAGGTGCTCTCTTTATCTGTCTACCTTTCTTGGGTT